TGTGTGTGTGTGTGTGTGTGTACTTTTTCAGTAATGGGGATTGATCTGGGGGCCCTACTCACACTAGGCAAAAGCTCTGTCACTGAGCCACAATCCCAGCCCTTTTTATTTTATTTTTGTTTTGTTTTGTTTTGTTTTGAGATAGCATCTCACTAAGTTGCTGAGACTGACCTTGAACTTGGAGTGTGAGCCACTGTGCTCAGCTGTGTTTCTACACTTTTATGAATTTGTTGCTTTGGTAAAATAGTTCTGCTAGCTGCTCAGCTTTCTTCCACCTTGCATATTCATTCCAAGTTACTTTGTCCAATAGTTGTCAGGCAAAATCATATGAAGATCAATAATGCTATTGTCATGAATGACTGGTATTTATTTAGCTTTGGACGTGTGTGCACCAACCCCGTCACAGAACTTATTTGAATTTTAATTGCTATTTCCCCCAAAAAAGATAAATGAAGTCAGGAAGATCTTTCCCACCTGATGGAAAGGGACTTGGAAAGTCAGAGGACTAAAGTCACAGATCAAGGTCACCTGGCTGGGAAGTAGCAGGGGCAGAATCAGAGGCCAGAGCAGCCTGGTGGCCCACAGCTTGGCCCTTATCATGGCTGCACAGTGAGACAGACAGACGCAGCAAGCACAGCACGGCACACAGTAGGCACCCAGGAAAAGCGGATTGTTCCCTGGCCCCTCTCTGCCTGTGAATACCTACTGCTGGTGGGGAGCTGACCCCAGATTTAGGATAAGCCTCCGCTGACTCTCGAGCCCTCTTCTTCAGCTGTAGCAGTGCCCAGGGCAGAGCTATGGTTTCTCAACAGCAACTGATTTGTCTATATTAAAAGTCTCAAAAGTGACAAGTATATTAAAAATCCCCGCAGGGTCTACCCGGTCACTTACCCAGCCTCCTGCCGACAGGCACAGCCCCTGGGTCATATGCTGGCCATGGGGGACACAGATGCCGGGGGAACCCCACATGGCCCTATTCCTGAAAAGCAAGTGTTCCAGAATAAGATGAGCCATTCCAAGCCCATTCCTTGCATCTTCTTTTCTTATCCTTGAAGGAAGCTGAGGCGGGGAGGCACCTTTGTACCGTCTCGCCTGTGGGAATGTCAAGGCTACAGGTGTTCCCAGCTGCCAAGATGGTGGAGGGGCCCGTCTAGCACCATGGAAGCGCCTCCAGAGCCCGAGTGCAGCCACTGCACTGAGCTGTCATAAGGCTGAGCTTGAGGAAGCTTGTGGGCCTCAGGGAGGCACCTCCTTCAGCCCAGGCAGGCTTCCTGGAAGAGACCTGGTATGCCCAGAATGGAGCAGGCAGCAGAGACGGAGAGAATGGACTTCTAGGCAGAGGGAATGGCACCTGCAGGTCTAGGGTGCATCAGAAGAATGCAGATTTAAGGATCAGAACCATAATGGCTGAGGTTTACTGAGCACCAACTAGATAGACACCAAGTACTCGCCTAAGCATAGTGCACATTGCAACTGATTCTTACAACACCTTGTGCACTAGGCATTGACCTTTTCAAAGAAAGGAAAGATGTGTCACAGGAAATGAAATACTTGGACCCCAACACACAGCCAGAGCGGGAAATCCTTGGGTCAACAGAGCTGGAGGAGGAACTTGGGTGAGACTGGGAAAAGGCTCCAGAGAGTCGTGGTCAGGTCTGCCACAACCTGAACAGAGACGATGCTCACCCTCACCCCAGCCCTTAGCCAGGGACACACTGTGCTTCCCTGGTCTCGTTTAGACACCGTGATGAATCCACTGAGGCAGGTGTCACTCTTCCCATTTGATAGGAAAGAAAACAAAAGTTCTGAAAAGATGAGCGACTTTGCCATCCGTAGAGGGTCCCGTGGACAGGACCAGAACCCGGGTGCATCTGGCCCAAACGGCCAGCTGTTCCCATCTCAGACTGAGGAAGGCAGGCAGGGAGCAGGACCTCTCCCACCCTGATGGTCCCGTGCTCGCCCATTCCCTGTGGACCTGGGGAGACGGAGCTCCTGCTGCCTGCAGGTCACTTCCTGGTGGTGGTTAAAATGGAGAATTGCAAAGAGAGGGAACTGCAGGAGGCATTCTCAGCATTCTTGCCCACGGCTGCAGCGATATCAGCTTTCTTTGGGGCACTGATTCGCTGAGGTAACCCCTCCAATGTTCCCTTCTGTACTGGAGAGTCTCCCCCTTCCAACTCCAGACGCCCGTCACCCAGATTCCAGTAGGAGCCTCCGTACGGAGAGGCTGGCCCCGAGCCGGTGCTACCACGTGAGCGTCGCCCATCTGGAACACATTTGGGCACCAAAGGGCCATAATCATTGCTGGTCCTGAGAACATGCACCGCAGACAGTTCACTGGGGACTTTAAAGAAAAACCAAAAAGGACAGACAGTCAACTATGTAAACAAGTGGGGCGGGGGGGGGGAACAACACTTGGTTTTGAGAGTGGTAGGGAGAGAAGTAACTGATAGAAAAGAAGCAGATTGGAAAATCTGTCGCCATGTGAGGATGCGCTTCGGGCTCATTTTGCAGACAAGAAGACAGAGGCTCAGAAATGCTGAGCCCTTGGTTCAAAATCAAGCAGTAGCTGACTAGGGGTTGGAATCTGTCTGGTCCTCCAAACGGGACTCTTGAGTCCTAACCCAGTCTGCAATTTAAGAGGGAAAAAAGGCGACTTGAAAAGTCAAAATATATATATACTAAAATCAATATCTAGTTAGATATAAAAAGTTCATTAAATTGGGTCAGGAAAAACGAGTCAGTCTATCCTAACATATGAGGGAAGAAGAGCAGAATATGTGTAACTGAGGGATAAACATGAAAACTATTCAATCTTGGAGAACATTCAATGAAGTGTAAATAAAAGCAAGAATTTGCTATTTAAGAGCAAATAAATTCAGTAGAAAGCAGTAACACCTAATGCTAGTGAAGAAGAGGAGAAATGAAAGAGCAGTCGAGCTCCTGGGCAGGTTTCCTCAGTTCTGCCTGGTTGGAAAATAATTTGGCCACATATTTCAAATGCCACGGACATTTTCATATGGGCTGGAAATTTATCTGTTGATCGTTCAAAGTGAAGACCAGTTTTTATCACAACAACTTCTTTACTTTTTAAAAAAAAAAAAAAAAAGAATCAGAAACTATTACAATGTCCCAGCATGCAGGAACAGCTCCAACCGTCAGGAGCAGGTATTCAAAACACATGGCCACCAAGGTCTTTCAAAGTTTCAATTACCAACACTCTGTCGTATCACAGAAAAATGCGTTTGCCAGGACATCAAGAGAAAAGAGGAGTTTGCAGAATGTTATCTAAACTGCGATGGAGATGATTAAAATATGTATCTGCAAATGGGCAGGGACAAGAAAGGAACAGGGACCAAATGAAGCCAGTTAGGTTGTTGGAGTGGTGGCTAATTTCTGATGTTACCCTTGATACAATATTGGTGCCAGAGAGAAAAAAACAAAAACATCACACTCATAAAGATGATGGCTCTGTGATAGTATAGGGCCAAATTCCTCCAGGGGCTAAAAATATGTTGAGAACTTCTAGAAGGCTCCATTAACTCTTTAAACTACCACTGTGGGACCATGGAATGTTAAAATAACAATAATAGTGATATAAAAGAGGCCAGTAAGTGAACGCTGCTTCCAAATTTACCAAGTCAGCTCTCAGGACATAACTTGAGCATGAGGACAACCTACTCCACCAGACCAAATATGGAAGAGTCGGAGGACAGGCGTGGCCGGCTATGGGCCCACCTCCCAGTGGGGTCTTTCCCTGGTGCCCTGTGGGGGCCGACCTTCTGGAGATCACAGGAGGGGGCTGCTGGGCAACGCAGGGAACCCCCACCCAGAAGCTGGCCATCTACCATCTACCGGGGACTCAGCACCGCTTCTCCATCAACGTGTGACGCACAGCACGCAGGGGACAGCAGCTTCCCCGTGCCAGGCTCTCTGGAGGGGACCACAGGGTTGGCCCGGGTGCATGCAGAATCCTTCCGCACTTTCCCTGAGCCGGGGTCTCCCTCCCACCTTCTAAGACGCTTCCTTCTTTCCGCTTCAGTTTTTAAGCTCACCCTCAAGTCCCCGTGGAGGGCCCTTAGCTGCACCGTGCTCGGACGGGTCCCTCTGTTGGCGTGTCCTCCTTCCTGAGATCCCAGGACCTGCCAAGAGAGAAGGGCATCTCCAGCCAGTGCCACGTCCCCGCCGCCTCCGTCCGCATCCTCGCTAGCGGCTGAACACTTAGGGCAGGTATTAGTTTCTGGTGGCCACTGGCACAAATGGTCACCGTGGTGGTGGCTTACACAGGAAGCTGTTCTCACCACTCTGGAGGCTGAGGTGTGGACGCGGCTGCCCTGGGCTGACGCTGGGATCAGGCAGGAAGGGCTCTTGTCCTGTCACTCCTTGGCTCCTGGCCGCATCACCCCCACCTCTACACCTGTGGTCGGTCACAGTGCCTTCTCCTTTTCTGTCAAATCTCCCTCTTACAAGGACGCTGTGATGGCTTTGGGGAGCCACCCAGGTGTTCCAGAATCACCTCCCATTTCGAGCTCTGTGATTGAATCCCACCTGCAGAACCACCCCCTTCCCACTGCTGTGGAAGGTTCTGGGAATTGGACTGAACCACTCGGGTGGTAGCCTTCCTCTGTCCACCACACTCCATACTGTGGAAAGTCGGGAGGCAGAGCTGGCCACGTCTGACCTAAAAATGGGGACGGGACATGCACCCAGCCGTCCCTTCTCTCAGCCAGCATCCGCTCCCTGTTTTCTGGACCAGGCTCAGTTTAGGGCGCCAGGGATATTGATGACAATATAAATAAGACCAAGCCTTGCCCCTGAGTGGAGCGGGCCTCGCAAGGAATGATAGATTAGTAAAAGGGATAAGGCACCCTGCCCTGTGTCCCGATGAAGCTGTGACCAAAGCCTTGTGAGCACCCAGCTGCCAGACCGCGCAGAGACATGAGGTGTGACTCTAGTCTTCCTGAGAGTGGCTAGGCAGGCAGCAGAGGAGCAGGACACCTGTCCTCCTGGTTCAGAAGGCCACCAAGGGGTGAGACAAGTCCCTATGGGCAGAGGCTGGGGACACACCATCACTGTTAGCCAGGGCAGACCTGGCTGATGAAGAGCGGCCTGGGAGCTGGCAGCCACGAGTGTCCCCACAATGGCACCTCCAGAGCAGGTCACCCCCTCGCCCAGCCCTCCCAAGCACAGGAAGAGCCCCACAGAACTCTCCCCACAGGTCAGGGGTCCCAGGGTGCTCCCTGCAGGGGTGCTGACCCAACAGTGCAGCTGGGAGACAGCCCAGATGTGCCTGTGCAGACCCTGGCTCCTGGTTCCCCATTTTTAAAAACAAAGAGGGAGCTGTAGGCTGACGTGGAGGGTCACCAGGGACGTTATTCGGAGAGACAAAAGGCTCCGTGTGATTCCATTTGTATTTCTAGAGCCCCCCGGAATGAATGGGTTCGTAGACCAGGACAGGCAGAGAGGGAACCCTAAGAACTCACAAGGAGAAGGGAGTTGAGGAAAGGAGTCGAAGGGATGATGGCTTCCCCCCCCCCTTCCCAAGTGTGCTTTGATTTAAGTATTTTTTAAACAAGCACATCTTGCCTTCCATAGCCCATTTACATAATCTCCAAGAACAAAATGAAAGAAGAAAACAGGTTTTTAAAATAATCAAAGCAAAGGACAAGGAGCACAGTTTTTGTTTGTTTGTTTGTTTTTGTTTGTTTGTTTGGTTTGGAGATGTGCCCGCTCAGTGTGCCCCCAAAAAGGGGACAGACCCATGTGTCTGAGACTGGAGGCAGGGAGGCCAGTCAGAGGCCAGAGGAGAAGAAAAGGCTCAAGTTGGAGCCCCAGCAACTATGGAGAAGAGGTAAAGAGAAGATGAGAGTCTCTAGACAAAAGCAAGTAACATGTAGCCCATGTTAAGTGGCAGAAGAGTGAACGGCAGGCTAAATTGTGGAGGCCGAGCCTGGGATGGTCATAAATCTTGTGCAGTGGAGTGAATAGTGGGGATGAGGTCCTCCAATGAGAGGCAAGTCAGGGAGTGAGTGATGTTCCCAGGGAGAAAAGCAAACAGAAACACAGTTTCTGTTGGGAGATCTTTGAAAAGGTCGCCCTCCTCCCTGATACTCCATCTTTCTTACAGTGGTCTCTCTTTCTACAGTGGAGAAAGGGGGACAGCCCGTAAGAGAAGAGCTCATGCTCGTGGGCCAAAGGCATGGGCTCCAAGGAGACAGGGTGTCTCAGTACCAGGACAGACCCTCTGGCCCCAGAGTCTCTCCTACAGAGGTTTCACAAGTTAGTAACAAGGTGACAGCCACCTGGCCCTCTCCCCTGGGATGCACCCAGACTGCCTCCCTGTAGTTGGCTCTGATCACTTCCCAGCTCAGTGTCACCCAGTACAAAGCCATGCTTCCATCCCAGAGGCCCCTGTGTTAATCCATTTCCCATTGCTGTGGAAATACCTGAAGCTATAACAAAGTGCCTGAAGCTGGGAACTTACAAAGAAAAAAATCTATACAGCTCACAGTTTTAGATATTGGAAGTCTAAGTAGGGAAGCCCCAGCTGTTGAGCTGCTGGTGCCGGTCCCCTCAGGTAGGTCACAGCATTGCAGAAGGTACTATGGCAGGAGTAGAAGAGGAAAAGATTTGGGGGCAGGACAGGAAGCTGGAGAGCCAAGACCAGACCTGCTGGTTCTCAATCCCTCCTTGAGAGTACCACTGATCCCTTCCAGGACACGCCCCCCAATGACCTAAATTCCTCCCCTACCCACCCCTTAAAGGTTCCACGACCTCTTAATAATGTCATGCCGAGGACCAAGTCTCTAACACTGAATCCTTGGGGGACACACTCAATCACATCCAAACCTCAGCACCCCGAGGCCACCGTCGGTACGTCCATAGCCAATCTCCTAGGAGACCCCCACAGCTCCCGTCCTGGGCAGGTGAACCTGCGCCTCAGCAGGCACCACCTTGGGGCAGGACCTGGGAGCCGGGTGCTGCTCCTGGCTCTGCAGCTGGCCTTCCCTGCAGGAGCTAGAGAGGTCACCTCAGTGGTGAGGGACAATTAGAACATAAGGAAGCCAGCATTTTCCCTTTCTCCAGTGACGTTCACAGCATACCCCCCCTTTGGTCAAGGGACATATGTCTTGTCTTGTAAAAAGGATGATCGCCATGTGATCGGCTTTCAAATTCCAGATTCAGCCAGCCGTGTCCCGGTGCGGCTGCTGAGTGTCCCCAGACGCAGCCCAGCCCAGCATAGTAAATATCCACTGAGATGAACAGCGTGTGGCCAGAGTTGTCAGGCGCGTTCCCGTATGAAACTGGCTGGCCCCGTGTCCCTCAGCTCCCTGGTCACATCATTGATCAATTCCAATGCCAGGGCCTTATCTTCCTGGAAAAGCCACAGGCCATTATGTCTCTGTTGCACAGATGTGAAGGAGAAGGAACCCACGATCTCTGCGGCCACCGGCCTGAGAGCTTTCTTACCTAACAGGCTCCATGAGTTGGCAACGGGGACAGCTCGCCTCCTTTTATGGATGAGGAAACCAAGGCTCTGAGGGGCAGTGACTGGGCCAAGGTCATGTGCAGCTGATGGCGTAGAGCCACGAGCTAGTCCCTGTGAGCCCTGCTTCCACCCACCCCAGTCAGGCTGGCGGGGAGCGGGCTGGGTGTCCAGGCGGGTGTGGGTATCTGTGCAGGACGCTGGTGTGGTCCTTCCCTGGGCCATGGCGGCAGGCTCCCCTCCGCAGGCGCATTGGGGCAGGAACTTGCTGCCTTTGATGGAAAATGCACCTGATCCCGTCCTCTGTCTGTGACTCAAAGTACAGAAGCTGGGGCCACCCGGGACCTGCCACCTCCCCAGACACGCTACAGCGTCTGATGGGGTCACCTCCCACTGACCCACAATGTGAGAAGTCACCCACTGAAAGTGCCCTCACTGAGAATCCTGGGAGAGACCCGATCAGGCATCGCACGCCTGGGAACAGATCAACATGTGAAATTGGAACCGTGGTTTCTACTGAGTCTGTGGCTTAAAAAACCACCCAGGCTGAATCTCCACGAAGCTTCTGCATCCTGCTCCCTCTCCCTTTGATACCAGAACTGTGGATTGTAGCTGGGTCCATGGGGAAAGGCCTGGGTCAGCTTCTCTGGCCGTCGGCTGACCACGTGTTGAAGTCGTGGCTGATGGCACAGAACAGAAGTGCACTCTCCTTTTCCTTTCTTTTCTATTGGTTGGAAGGCTGAGGTGATGGCAGCTGCCGGGGAAGCCACATTGGATCATGAGATGCCAGTCACAGGATGAGACGGTAGAGAGCAGGGGCTGGGTTCCTGGTGTTCCCGGTGAATCCAGTCAGGGATGCCTGCCTGCTCGCCTGCCTGTGGATTCCCCCTTTGCAGCTCCATCTTGCTACTGTTATTGGAGGGTTTTGTTCTTCTGCAGCTGGACATAACTATACCTGATAACTGATCTGTGTCAAGAACTTCCAAAGGGGCAGCACGTTGTATTTTCCACCTTGTGCCCCCATTTGGAGCCTCGTGCGTGCCCTGCAATGGAGGCTGGAACAGCCGAGAAAGTGGAGAGTTGAGGCAGCTTTGGGAAGTCCCTAGAGCATCCCTACCCATGCCCGAGTGGGTCCTCCCCCCACCCCGAGAACCCACTGCCCCCATGAGCCCTGGGTTGGTAAGTGGCCTCCACACCTGCATCTGAGTACCTGACCCTCCCTCTGATCCACCACCTCCTTTCATTCCTCGCTGGCCTCCTGGCCTCCATCTCTTCCCAGAGAGATCTGAGAGGGATCTCGTTGACTCTCAGGTCTGGACAGCCCCTACCCTCCTCTGCTCAGGAATCTACTCAGGGCCCTCCTCTCCCACTACCAAGGGTCACTCTGAGACCCATTCTGGAAAAAGGAGGGGGGGGAATGTCTTCTTCTTTGAAATTCAAAATACTTTCCAACCCTTGCACATCTGTCCCATAAAATGGCCTGTGTCCCGATCCTCACAAAACCTCAGAAGACAGGATGAAAGGAGTCCTGCGTTCCTGGGTGGCGACAGTTCACTGGACTAAGCTTCGTGTCCACTGGGCGGAACTGGGCCTTTGCTCTCCAGTCGCAGTGCCCTTCATCTGCTCGGGGCCCCTCCTCCAGGGCCTGCTCCACCA